CGAGATGCTAAGTTATGATCACGAGATGCTAAGTTATGATCACGAGATGCTAAGTTGTGGCCACGAGATGCTAAGTTATGGTCACGAGATGCTAAGTTATGATCACGAGATGCTAAGTTATGGCCATGAGATGCTAAGTTATGGCCACGAGATGCTAAGTTATGATCACGAGATGCTAAGTTGTTGCCTTGAAGATGCTAAATTGTAGCCATGATGTACAAAGTCATGGCCACAAGATGCAAAAAAATATTATTCTGTATTATATGTCGCCTCTATGCTTCCGTAGATTTGTCATTTTTTTACAGTTTTGTAATGTTGATGTTTAAAAATTACTCACGAATAGTTTTGGCGTTAAAAAATTCATTAAAGTTGGATTGTACATGTACGTTTTAGCAAATACATCCAGAGTCCTCAATAGAAACAATATAGTTGGATTGTACATGTACGTTTTAGCAAATACATCCAGAGTCCTCAATAGAAACACTATAGTTGGATTGTACATGTGCGTTTTAGCAAATACATCCAGAGTTCTCAATAGAAACAATATAGTTGGATTGTACATGTACGTTTCAGCGAATACATACAGAGTCCTCAATAGAAACAAGTCAAGGTATAAGACGAGGTTCTTAATAGCTTGACATTGTAAAATACAAGAAAGGTGACTATTGCAGTCAAGGTATAAGACGAGGTTCTTATTAGCTTGACATTGTAAAATACAAGAAAGGTGACTATTGCAGTCAAGGTATAAGACAAGGTTCTTATTAGCTTGACATTGTAGAATACAAGAAAGATGACTCTTGCAGTCAAGGTATAAGACGAGGTTCTTATTAGCTTGACATTGTAAAATACAAGAAAGGTGACTATTGCAGTCAAGGTATAAGACGAGGTTCTTATTAGCTTGACATTGTAAAATACAAGAAAGGTGACTATTGCAGTCAAGGTATAAGACGAGGTTCTTATTAGCTTGACATTGTAAAATACAAGAAAGGTGACTCTTGCAGTCAAGGTATAAGACGAGGTTCTTATTAGCTTGACATTGTAAAATACAAGAAAGGTGACTCTTGCAGTCAAGGTATAAGACGAGGTTCTTAATAGCTTGACATTGTAAAATACAATAAAAGGTGACTCTTGCAGTCAAGGTATAAATAAAAAAAAATCCGTAAATTATTAATGAAAATATTTCTAAAGTTTGCTATTTTTATATTAAAACTGAAATTGTTTTAAAAGGGTTGATTAACGATGTACACATAGTGCCCATTGGAATAACAAGCAATGTTTTATATGGAGGGGCAGTGTGCAAAAACTTGATCAAACTGAAGTTTTATAAGGGGTGATTAAAAACAGAGAGTACTAATTGTTAATTAAGCAGTTTGACCTAGTTTTGGTGTTTGACTTTATAATGGCTCGATATTATTAGTTAAAATCTTTAGAATACGTAGGAGATATATTTCTCTACAATTAGGCGTTTATTTTACTCAAATCTGTACAGTAGTTTTCTAACAGCTTTCAAAAAACATAACAAACTTAAAAACCTTACGTAATGTATTTAAATATTTTTGGTGTTTAAAAATTAACGGCTAGATTGTTATTAGTTTAAACTTTTAGATACGTAAAGGGTACATTTCTCTACATTTTGGTGTATAGTTTTCACGAATTTTAGCAACAAAAAAAGCGCATGTCCCTTTAAGATAATAAGCACTATGACGTCATAATGCTATAACGTTATAACGAATAACGTTTTAAAGAAATCAGACGTTTTTCTTTGTACAGTGTATAGTGGAAATAATTTAACAAATATTTACAGTTTAGAAATAGATCGGTGTTTTTATCTTGTTAGAATTTGTCAGTAGAGGTAAGATTTTTTCCACCAACATTTATTGTATTTCGTTTCGCGTCAAATTTCAAAGATCTATGGTTAAGGTGAGCAGTCGATATGAGAAGGTCTGGTGACATTTAAAAAGTCATTACAGTCTACTCAATTGTAAATGGTTACGAATAATCCGAGAAAGTTTAATGCCAAAAGGTTTTGTCTTGGACCAGCTGAAAACTGAAATCTATTTCCAAGAATAATACCTCCTAAATCCTCTTTACATTTCAAAATTTACCCGTTCTCAGAACGCAACGAATTTTGTGTAATGTAAACAGGCAAGCGTTCTGGGAACGGATTCCAATTCTGGCTCACCTGAGGTGATCTCGAAACGGATTCCAATTCTGACTCACATGAGGACTCGATTGGTGCAATATAAACGGTAACCGTTTCGAGAACGCTTTACTGCACAGGCCTCATGAGCAACCGTCACCTTTTCCCGCGGAATTCCGTCATTATACAGTGCAAATGTTGATTACACCAGAGTTACTACAAGAGTTACTTTTAACTTCTTCATGAAGAGTTCCACAAATAACCGTGCCGAGAATTGACTTTACTGTAATGTTAATGAGCACATTTTATTGCGGCCTGGTCCGGACCGCCTGGTGTAAGAGGGGTTATAGAATGAACATAAAATTTATATTCAAAATCTTGGTCAATAAGAGTATATATTCATCAATGGACTTACCTGATGTTATTAATATATTAGATTGTATTAAAAGTACAAGTAGTATGTCTGTTTCTTTCTTTCTACTGCGCGATCAAAAGTGAAACATGTTCATTGTTCTTTTTAGATGGGGAAGAACACCTTCGTTGCGATCAGAAATCCTTTTGACAAATCACAAGAAATAGTAATTTATCCACACATCGGGAAAAGAGAGCGTCCAAATTTAGAGGGTGAAGATCTAAGACTATGCAAGTTCGCAAAGTTCTTCTGCGGAAAGGCGAACAAAACCAATGTGCGGCCACATCGTGATAGTGTTATCGCCGCTTTCTGCCAACTACCCGGTGGAGCAATCTCAACACGTTCTCAATGTGCGTCTTCAGCTTCTCAACTCGGAGTTGATCCACAGTTAACAGGACACTGCTCTACGGGATCTTCAAAGACACGGAACTCCAAGTCTTCAGCTTCTCATCCCGGAGCTTCAATGACACCGGAAACCGCTTCATCTTCTTTGAAAGACAAACCCATTCTCGTCGATAAAGAGAACATGGATAAAAAGCCACCAAGGAAATTGTGGGTACGAATATTCGAAAAAATGTGGATTATCCCAAAGGAAGATTCGGTGACTGATGAAACGGAAAAGATGTCATCTTCCGCGATACAAGCAACCAAAGAAAACCTGGAAACAAAACCCCGTAAGAAAACGTGGGAAAAAGTATTCGGAAAGATATGGATTATCCCAAAGAGACGCCTAGGGTATTTCGAGAAGTAAAGGTTGCTAGTGTCCCTGGGAAGGAGAAGAAAAAGAAGCAAAAAATAGGAATTAGAGCTCCAGTAAGATTTGTAGAAACGGTAGAGACAAGACCTCTACGAGAATTTGATCCAGCTTCAGTAGCGAATACTTCTGATAAAGAGGACGCGATATGTGAACGCTCTGTATCTGAAGTGATACCGAGTTCCTCATCAAAAAGAAATCTGTCAAAGCTTGATGAGCGGGACAATGTACTAAGCACTTTTTCTGGAAATAACACATCTGTCATAGTGATCAACTCAGTTTCAACACAGGATGATAGAGGACGAGAAGGAATTAGGAAAGTTGAGAATAGGATGAAACAAAGGGGTGAATCCGTTGCGGGCACAAAGGGCACTGAATCAGCAACTGGTAAAAGAAGTCGCAGGCCAGCCATCAAGAGAAGGGAAGTCTTCAAGAGACCAGATATATTAGCTGTAACAAACGAGGACACATCTGAGATATATTTTTCATCAGACGATGACACATTATCCAACAAAAGAGATATCAAAAAGATCGTAAGTAATTGTGACCAACTGAGTCAAGCTCCTTTGGATCAAACGCCAACTAATGGCAGGAATAATGATCTACCAGAAGGGAATGAACAGGATTTGTGTGCCAAGTTCGGCAAACTCATTAGAGATTTCAAGCGCGATTTTAGGGCAATTGTAAACAACCCCCAAGGACGCGGTCCCAGTGAGAGAGCGCATAACTATGGAGATAGTTCAGAAGAGGAAAGTTCTGCAATAACAGTTGCCACCACGATCTCTATAAACTCTGAATTAGCATCATCATCGCCAGTTTCCGAAGGTGAAACAGTCCTCCCAATATCCAGCAGTCGACTCAGCAACCAGGATCTCCTTTACTCAGTCCGACACAGTCTGAACACTAGCTGTAATGCGAGGGATTTACCAGCACCATCAAGAAGACATAATGGAAAGAACATCACGACAAATAAAAATCAGAATATTAGAAAATACCCAAGGGAGTTACCAATGCCACCAAGCTTCAATTTCAGCAGACATAGAAAGTTGCGCATACCACCAAGCAAGCGTAGAGAGTTGCCGATTCCATTAAGCAAGCAAAGAGAGTTGCCGATACCACCAAGCAAGCTCAGAGAGTTGCCGATACCATCAAGCAAGCACAGAGAGTTGCCGACACCACCAGGCAAGCATAGAGAGTTGCCGATATCATCAAGGAGTCATAGAGAATTGCCGATACCATCAAGGAGGCAGGGCAAATGCTCTCCTCTAATGAACTTCACATCCTTACAATGTCCCAAGTCAACACCACAGCAATGCAACATGCTGTTTCCTTCTGAAATGAGCCTTTACGCTCCACAACAAAGACAAGTTAGAGTACCAGAATGTCGAAGTGCTTTCTCGCGAACACCACTTGAAAAGCAAGCCAGATACCATCGAGTCAAAACCTAGGTTTTGTCTGCTCAAGAAAACTTCTAGATGAATCAAGAGAACCCAGAGAAATCACTTCCTGTATCAACAAGGGAGAGAAGGGATTTGCCAGTTCCCCAGTACCATACTGTCACAGCCCAGGTCCATCTCAGTACCATACTGTCACAGCCCAGGTCCATCTCAATACAATACAGTCACAGCCCAGGTCCATCTCATTACCATACTGTCACAGCCCAGGTCCATCTCAGTACCATACTGTCACAGCCCAGGGCCATCTCATTACCATACTGTCACAGCCCAGGTCCATCTGAGTACCATACTGTCACAGCCCAGGTCCATCTCATTACCATACTGTCACAGCCCAGGTCCATCTCAGTACCTTACTGTCACAGCCCAGGTCCATCTCAATACAATACAGTCACAGCCCAGGTCCATCTCATTACCATACTGTCACAGCCCAGGTCCATCTCAGTACCATACTGTCACAGCCCAGGTCCATCTCATTACCATACTGTCACAGCCCAGGTCCATCTCAGTACCATACTGTCACAGCCCAGGTCCATCTCAGTACAATACTGTCACAGCCCAGGTCCATCTCAGTACAATACTGTCACAGCCCAAGTTCTTGTCAGTACAATACAGTCACAGCCCAAGTTCTTGTCAGTACAATACAGTCACAGCCCAGGTCCATCTCGGTACTATACTATCACAGCCCAGGTCCATCTTGGTACTATACTATCACAGCCCAGGTCCATCTCAGTACAATACTGCCACAGCCCAGGCCCATCTCGGTACCATACTGTCACAGCCCAGGTCCATCTCAGTACAATACTGCCACAGCCCAGGTCCATCTCGGTACAATACTGCCACAGCCCAGGTCCATCTCGGTACCATACTGTCACAGCCCAGGTCCATCTCAGTACCATACTGTCACAGCCCAGGTCTATCTCAGTACTATACAGTCACAGTCCCAGTCCTTGTCAGAATAGAATGATAGAAACACCACAAAGTAAAGGACAGAATATATGACTGAGTTTATTAGTTCTTACAATATAAAAATAGTGTTAATAAAAATTTCTTTAAAAATTATTTTGTGTCTGAAGGCTCATAGTTAACTTAATGATAGATTTTATATCCGAAACAGCTTTTCTTGTTCTGGATGATCCGAAGATGATTCGGGTGTGTAGTGCGGATGAATATATACCTGCTGATGATCTGAGTAAAATCGTGGTAGTCGACAATGTCCGTACAGAATACGGATTATTCGAGGATGTATTCGGGAATGTATTCTAAGATGTATTCGGCAATTTCCGTACAAAAAACATTGGTAGTTGGCGAGTTCCGTAGATGATCGTGATGATACGAGGATGTATTCGGCAATTTCCGTACATGATCGTGATGATACGAGGATATATTCGGCAATTTCCGTACATGATCGTGATGATACGAGGAGATATTCGGCAATTTCCGTAGATGATCGTGATGATACGAGGATGTATTAGCGGATGAATGTATACCCGGTGATGATCTGAGTAAAACATCAACCGGGCAGGCAGTCACCACATATACTCTACTACTATATCCATTCACTTGCCCATTACTTGATCAGAATACTGCAGCATTTACAAGATCGTGATGATACGAGGACATGTTTGGAAATTTCCGTACTTGTTCGTAATATTCTAAGATGCATTCGGAAATTTCCGTACAAGATCGTAAAAGATACGAAGATATATTCGGCAATTTCCGTACAGGATCGTAATGATACGAAGGTATATTCGGCAATTTCCGTACAGGATCGTGATGATACGAGGATATATTCGGCAATTTCCGTACAGGATCGTGATGGATACGAGGATGTATTAGCGGGCAGGCAGTCACCACATATATTCCTCAAATTAGTATTGGAAATTAGAATTTCACCTCTACAATCAGTAATTTGATGCCCCCTCTTTCAGCTACACGTTGATAAAAACATCGTACTTACCGCAATGTCTGGTATAACGTTAGGGTCAGCAACCATCTGATAAGATACGTCTGCGTTTAGACGTCCGTATTTGTAAAAAGTTTTTTACGGAGATTCGCCTGATGATTCGGTGGATTAAATTTGGGTACTTTGGGAGGGCAGTAACAGGAAATAGCATGCGTCACTTCCGGGTTAAAGCCTCAAGAAATTAAGAGTTAAATAACAGAACACGATTTTATGGTATATGCTTCAAGATTTTAAAGGAGAGGTCGGCCATTTTTTGACCAATCATACTTTAATCATAGAAACTGGTCACAAACTCACCGTCGAAATTCGAGCCTTTAAATTCACGTGTGCCCAGAATTATCTGCCTTTGAATGTTAAATTGACGACTCGTCGAATTTATGATACTCTGTGATATATAGAAAAGAAATAGTGAGTAAAATTCCTAGTTTGAGATATTTTTAAAGGAATTATGTGATTTTCATACATTTTTGTAGTTCTGAAGACAATTTACATATATTCAAGAGTAAAACCAACCCCCCCCCCCCAAAATGGCACATCTGTCCCTTTAAGTTATTATACATAACATTGTGATGACGGCGTAAATCGTTGAAACGTTGTGTACAACAAAAACTCAGGAGCAGTGTACCATAGAATTGTGTATCGTCACTGGACAGCTCTCGGTGTGATATTATTTGATAAGTTTTGACCCTGTCCACACCCAAACCATGGTCCAGTCGGTTAGAATAGTTCAGTTTTAATAACAGTCATTAGGATAAATTGTTTAAGAGTTAAAATTGCGTATGTATAGTTTGTAATTAAAGGGTTTGGACCTACTTTTGTAAATTAATTGGCCCAATACATCGCTTGATTGACTTAACCCTTTGAAACACTTGTAAACTTACAGGGATCATGAGTAAGTCATCTATCAGCATAGACCGAAACATCTGCCTCTATTCCAACCTCTGATAACTATCTTGACAGTTGTCGGCTGGTGTAGAGACAGAAAAATTAACCCTTGTTTTATGGAGATCTCCGAAGGTGTGGGTTACTATAACCTATTTATTTCAATCGGATCCGCAAAAGCCAAATATATTCGACAAGATGGATATTTTTGTAGTTCAGTCATACCCTCAATATCATCAAAGGCTAGAATGTTCCAGACTATAAGCATCCTTTAAGCCTGTCAATATGACGTATACTATCAGCTGTCAATGTGACGTATACTATCAGCTGTCAATGTGAGGTAAAATATCAGCTGTCAATATGACGTATACTATCAGCTGTCAATGTGACCAATACTATCAGCTGTCAATGTGAGGTAAAATATCAGCTGTCAATATGACGTATACTATCAGCTGTCAATGTGACCAATACTATTAGCTGTCAATGTGAGGTAAAATATCAGCTGTCAATATGACGTATACTATCAGCTGTCAATATGACGTATACTATCAGCTGTCAATGTGACGTGACGCATCAACTATTAATCTTAACATACTATGCTAGTGGAATATGACAGAAACGCATCCAGCGTAGACGGCCCAATATTAATTACAATAATTCAGGTATACCTTATCAACACAATCAAGTGTCATAGTTGGTACTTCTCATTTAATCTGTTATAATCCTTTTATGTTTTAATTGTCGATTGTTGTACTTAATCTACATTGCTGTATGTTTCCATGGTCTATTGTTAATCAATTAATGTCATTGTACAATTTTATTATAAATACGGACTGTTATGTTATATGGGGCATCTTAGATTGACCCGAGCACCTATACAGACGGACAACGTCAAGGTATTGTAAATATTGTAACCCGTTATTATTAAACAGTTTCAAGTCCTTTTTAGAGTTTTAGCGTAATTCCTAACTGCTACAGTTGTACCAGTAATTAATTCAATACTGTTTATATTTTGCAGCTGAGACGGTTTATAATCCCCACCATTCTAACCATGTGCTTCTGTCTGATTATGTTTACAGCCATATATAACGAGACCAATTTATCGTCCATACCATTTACCAAGTTGATACTCACTGAATCGTGTCCCAGTGTTTTAGACAATATGACCAATGGACGATGGCATCAAAATCCCATGACTCGTTCTCAGAAGATGGATATTAATAAATTCTTAATTGATGCTGCGACAAAAAATAAACTTCCGATCACGTACCAGCGGGCTGATAAAAAATGTGGCAACGTGACTTTCGATCACAGACTTTATTTTCGCGCTATTTGTGACCGAGATGGCGCCACTCCGTGTTGCTATAACAACCAGTGTGTGAACAGAACAGTAGAACAATGCCGCTGTCCGAACTGTTATGATTTGAGGGACGTCATCACACCGGAATATGCTGATTGGATCCCAACCGATCCTCGGTGTGCAGTGAAGAAAATTGATTATAAAGATGCGTGTGAACTACTTTCCGGTTACACTTTGACTTTCCTGGGGGATTCCATAATCAGACAAATATATACCGCCTTTCTTATCTACATCCGAAATAATTATATAGATGGCGCTATCCAATCTACGAGAAGAGGTCAGTAGCTCGTTTTTCAATATCGTGATTAAAAGTTAATTCCCTTTGAATATTTTTACTACAAATTACTTCCCTTGCTTCCCTTGGGATTCAAAATTCATTCAAAATGTCAATATTTAAAGGAATTGTGAAGAAGTTTTCTAATTTTTTATGTGTATCTGTACACTGATAGCATCAATTTACACCATTTCAATTTTCAATCAGACGTCTACAGTGCTTGTTAATCTACAAAATATAAGCGCTGATGACTTCAATATCGCAAATACTATTTATTATATCTAATGGCTTGTGAAAATTAGTTTTATTGGAATTGCAAGAACCACAGACTCATCTGTGACAAACTGGGGAACCGTGCTCCAGGCAGTGCATATTAAAGAAATACTACCTTTATTGTTTTTCAATATTGACCAATAAGAGTATATATATATTAATCAGAGAGAGATCTTACCTAGTACCATGACTATACAGAATCCCTATATATATCAATATAGCCACAAAACTCAGAAATAACTGAATAAACGCTTAAAAATCAGTAAGCGTATTGAGTGTTTTTCAATTAATTACTTAGTTTTATGAATTATTACTTAGTTTAATGAATTATTACTTAGTTTAATGAATTATTACTTAGTTTAATGAATTATTACTTAGTTTAATGAATTATTACTTAGTTTAATGAATTATTACTTAGTTTAATGAATTATTACTTAGTTTAATGAATTATTACTTAGTTTTATGAATTATTACTTAGTTTAATGAATTATTACTTAGTTTTATGAACAATTACTTAGTTTAATGAATTATTACTTAGTTTAATGAATTATTACTTAGTTTTTTGAATTATTACTTAGTTATATTATATACTTCTGTTCTGACAGTTTTTCACTCATTGCACACTGCATGGCTTGTCTACGGGATATAAAACTCCATTTCGCTTCATTTCAGATATCCAATATAATTGTTTGAGGTACAGAATGTTTGGTGAAGATTTATGCAGAACAAACCTGGACCGTAATGCCAAGGCTTGCGACGGAAAACTCCAGTTGAGGTACCAAAGAATAGCAGATAAAAGCAAGAACCATAAACAAGTCATGTTAGACGTCATGAAAATAATTCCACACGAAAAATCGCTGCTAATTTTCGGGAGTGGTGGGGGAATCTCGGACTTTAATCCCGGCCATCACATTGAGACTTTTCTCAAACCGGTAATGGATTTGTATAAATCGTTGAAGAAGCCGTACCGTTTACTCTGGATCCAGCCATCCTATTTTAATATTATTAAAAAACCTTTCCATCGTCAGACCAACGACCACGTTCAGAGCTATATCGACGGTGTTGTACCTTATTTGAAATCCCAAGGAGTTCCGATAATGAATTTTAGAGACATAACAAAGGGAATCTTAAGTCACGACGGACTACACTCGTCTCTAGGCATGAATTTGTGGAAATCTCATATCTTGATGAATTATATACAAGAGTTATACAACAAAAGAGAATGGTGGAAACCTATACCTAACCGGCGGTGGAACGGAACAGTGAAAACCTATACCAAGCCGGCGGTGGAACGGTACAGTGAAAACCTATAACAAATAGGCGGTGGAACGGTACAGCGAAAACCTATACCTAACCGGCGGTGGAACGGTACAGTGAAAACCTATACCTAACCGGCGGTGGAACGGTACAGTGAAAACCTATACCAAACCGGCGGTGGAACGGTACAGTGAAAACCTATACCAAACCGGCGGTGAAACGGTACAGTGAAAACCTATACCAAACCGGCGGTGGAACGGTACAGTGAAAACCTATAACAAACCGGCGGTGGAACGGTACAGTGAAAACCTAACCGGCGGTGGAACGGTGATGTTAAAAATAGGTTTGTATATTTGAAGCTGAATTTATTTAATGTATAGAAAGTTATATGTGATGGTGTAATAAATTTTATAAAGCCCTGAATTTAAAAAAAAAGAGACTTGTTAAGAGATAGTTTAGGTTAAGTATAGGTTAATGAAAGAAACACGAGAGAGCCAATAGTTATCGCTCTTTCTGATCACGTGACAGTCTAAATCTTACGTGTAAAAACCTTGTTATCAATGACAGTGTGCAATAATGAACAGTCCAATAATTCCGCCATTTTGTATCACTCATTGATATTCTGGGCACTTTGCCAGTACCAATAAGTTGGATATTAGAACTCGAAGAACAAAGGATTACGTCACAACTGTATTTTAAAGAGACTTATTAAAGTGATTGTAAGGAGGTTGTCTAAATTCTCTATGTGTATCGGGGGATACTGATAGCACCAATTTGCGTCATTCCAATTTTCAATCAGACGTCTGTGGTAAACACTCTAGATGGTACAATTGTTGACAGGTTGAATATTTCATACTGGTGATTGTTACTGTACTACCAAATATTGTTATTTAAAATCAAAGCTGCTAGTTGGTGTATATTACCTTGTCTGGCTGTATCTTAATTTTAATGTCTTATCTATTCTCCTAGTATAAAAAGAGAAAATTAAATACTATCATAGACATTATTATAGAAATCATCCAGGTAGGTTTATTATTGTAAGATTTGAACGACATATAGAAACGAGGAGCACATATAACAAAACACAAGACAATATTATGGAATATAAAACACATATGTGCCTAACCTTATTAAAGAAGTGTGTTATATTCTATAATATTGTCTTGTGTTTTGTTATAGGTTCATTATTATAGTCAAACACAGACATTTGTGGTCATCCGTCAAAACATAAACACAACTAGTGTATTATATCTTACAGGCGGTGGGTGTAAAATTCCGTACTCTCCGAATTGGGTCAGTAAAGACTTAAAAATACGAATATTTGAAAACGTATTTTCTAATCCTATTTTCTGTTTATGTACAGTAATGGTAGTGAGATAATTTATGATAACGCTGCAAAATAAATTGAGAATTAATATTAATTTGTGGTCAACGACCAAAAAAAGAAACCATGCCCATGGATTTAAGGGCAATATTAGAAATTCCAGCTGACTCTATAAATTGCCATAATCAATAAATCTACGGCTTTGGTAATTTTGTAGCTTGCTATGGTTGTTCGTATACGACATTATTTACTTTTTCAATTTCGAATTAAACACTGGAATATAATTATAAAAAATAATTTTGAATTAGGAACTTGTATTTTCAAACAGGTGAAAATTAATTTTCACCCAGGTGAATAGATTCCTTTTAGCTCAGTTAATCAGTAAAAGTGTTCACAGCTCACCGTCGAAATTTGAGGCTTCAAATCCACGTGTGTCCGGAATTATCCGCATTCGAAAGTTAAATAGACGAGTCGTCATTTCTTGAGACACCGTTCAAATCTGAACACTTAAATTCGTGGTTTTACTATTATTTTTCAGACATGAATTGGAAGGTGCTGGCTGGTGTTTTATTGGTATTGTACGTGACTGTTACTACTACCAAGGAAATAAGAGACACTGCCTCTAACATCCAACATGGTTTATCATTAGCTAAAGAAATTGGTGACTTTGTTGTGGCCAAAAATTTCACGAATGTCATTGGAAAGCTGGCTACCGCTGTAACACCTTTTCTTGGGATAGTTGGGCCCTTCGTTTCCTTCATCATGGGATTTTTCAGACAGCCTGAATCAGCCGAACTTAAAGCCATTAAACGTCTGTACACAGAAGTTGACAATCGATTCGATAAAGTTGATTTGCAATTTATTGAAGTGAAACAACTGATTGATTGGAGTAAAATACAAATACAGTATTCTGATATTGAGCAAAAAATTAATGCTGCTAACGGAGTATTCGAATGTATCTACAAATTTTCCACTGGAGCTTTAAATATCACTACTTCTGCCTTCGTTACAAACTTCGATAATGATTATCAAAACAGCGGAATAAAACTCTATGACGGCATCATGAATGAAGGACGGAGATGATCTCTTCACTGCTATCGTCAAATATAGCGAGTACGACAGAGGGAAAAGCCAAACCTTTATGCTGGGACTTCTTCAATTGTTGATGAAAGCAGCAAAGTTGGAACTGACTTATCATCAGCTGAAAGGCCACGCAGCAGCTCTACATGATTACCAAAACCAATGGAGAACTCAATTTATCCATCTCAGAATCAAAATGATGTCTATAGATAGCTCTATTGTCAGTCACCATCATACTCAATCTGGAAAAGATATTGACAATTATCTTATAAACAATCCGAAAACTAAATGGAATAACAATGACTTCAACAACATGCTGTATGGTTTCCTGACTAAAAAGTACTCTTGGCGAGATTGGCTCACAATAACATACAATGATATAACTGGTAGTAATGTACATTATGTTGGAGAGTGTGGCGGTTACATCAAGTTTAGAAACTATGGTAGAAACGTGGTGGTCGCAAGTGTTGACCGTCGTAAAGGACACATCAACATGGCTCAAGCACAAAGCGTTGTTAACAATGTAGATTCCTGCCATCCAAGGACGGGCTACCGACCACACAAACATACCGTATACCATAGAACACATTCAGATAAAGCCTTCAATTCATTCCCATTGTCAGTCAGAGACCATTGCGATCCGTATGCCGCCAAAGGAGTTATTTCTTATAAAAGCCACAATGGTTATGACGTTCATTTCAAAGCTATTTCTAGTCGATTTCAGCTCAGAAGTCAAGAAAATTGCAACTTTGTTTATGTCTTTGGTTAATTTTGGCTATACTTGAGAAATCAAGAAAATTGCTGATAAAAATAAAAAATTTATTCAATTTGTATCATTCCTGTTAATTAAAATTTCTATGTAAGATTTGAACGACATATAGAAGCGAGGAGCACATATAACAAAACACAAGACAATATTATGGAATATAACACACTTCTTTCATAAGGTTAGGCACATAACGTTTCAACACAATATACACATGTCGTCATCAGATGTAAATGTCATCGTTATCCGGTCACTTTTTAATACATAAGATTCTCTTTTAGCTTCAAATCTTGATTATCTACAACCATTTATCGAACGATTTCAACGTTATCTCAGCTGCACACAGTTCTTTTAAACCAATCTCCATGTGGTGCTAAAACCATGTTCATTTCTAAATCCACGTGGACACCAGCCAGGGCTGCCATACATCCAGAAATACTGACAGATTTTGCAAGAATGATCAGCCAAATTTGTATCAATCACGCAAAAGAAGCCTCGTAGATATCGCGTGAAGCCTTGTACCTACTCAAGAGCGACGATACTAATGTTATCAAAAAAGAGTGATAAAGTTCCATGCTGCCATCTTGAACCGGAAGTATTATATTTCAGAAGAAGAGAATCAACTGAATATTCCCTGAGTTATGTCATACATGATTGTCGTTAAAGGCATTTGTACACTTTACCTTAGTCCGAAACATCGGACTTTATTCCAGCCTCTGATGGATACTTCGACATTTGTCAGCTGGCATATAGCCAGAAGAAAAAGAATCTGTTAAAAGGGGATTTTCCACACCTCCAAAGATGAGTTTTCTCTAACATAATATTGAATTATCTTTAAGATGATTGTAAATTAGTGTTGGGCATCACCGTAACTTTCGTTTTGTTAGTGTCACGTGACTCTGTGACCTTTGAACTTTTAGCTGCGCACGCAGTTTTAAATGGCCAAAAAATTTGATGGAACCGGAGACATGACATAAATGGTGTAGGGAGAAAATGATGGTATTGCTGAACTACAAAAATATTCATCTTTCCAAATATATTTTGGTTTTGCAGATGCAAAATACATTTAAAACCTCCGCACCTGCAGAGCTGCGAAATGTCCTCACTTAACAGGGCTTATTATTTCTGTCTCTATACCAGCTGGTGTCTGTTCAAATAGCTATCAGAGGCTGGAATAGAGACAGATGTTTCGATCTAACTTTACCTATGAATCCTGCCAAGAAATGGCTTATCCCTAACAGGATCCTTTAAGGTAGCTCGATTGAACTGTGGTAGTGAGTCATATGTAGTGACCACTTCTTACTACCACTGGCATGCCAACATTGACCCTACCTTAAGGACACGATGGATGTCTCTCTAAATGACTTACTTTATGTATTAAACCGCTACTAATATACAGAAATGTCTATCTCCTATATTCCTAATCCGCCTGTTATTTATCAGTATACAAATAGCCTCAGTTCAAAATGTTTAACTGCAACCTTGGTGTGACGTATCATGTACTAAATGTCATGACGACAAATCCAAACTTTGCAGCCTCAGATATTTTATTTTCACTTCCCATAAAATTAAACCAGCTAAATACAGCAAGGTCGATAGGAAACACTTACAGGCACGATTCTTGCCGGATTTTGACAAAACTTGGTAATATTATTCAGTATCGCCTCAAAAAGTTCAAAAGAAGTGTATGACTGAAGGTTGAATATTTCATACTGGTAATTGTTACTGTACTGCCAAATATTTTTATGTAAAATCAAAGCTGCCAGTGGGCGTATATTACCTTGTCTGGCAAGCTATCTTCCAATATTCAAGTTTAATTTCCAATGTTTACAGAATCTGAGTAAATTGTCCATTGAAGAAGAGGACACTGTAACCTCCACACTAGGCTTGTACAATTGGGAGAATTAAACCCTCCCTTCCCCGAAATCATAATAAGCTAGAACAAGGTGAAATGTAAAAAACAATTTTATAGCCGGTTTAGGTCCTATATAGCCCGGTTTAGGTCCTATATAGTCGGTTTAGGTCCTATATAGTCGGTTAAGGGCCTATATAGCCCGGTTTAGGTCCTATATAGTCGGTTTAGGTCCTATATAGTCGGTTTAGGTTCTATATAGCCGGTGTAGGTGCTATTTAGCCGGTTTAGGTCCTATATAGTCGGTTTAGGTTCTATTTAGCCGGTTTAGGTGCTTTATAACCGGTTAAGGTGCTTTATAGCCGGTTTAGGTCCTATATAGCCGGTTTTGGTGTTAGTGCACCTTAACTCATTTCATTTAAAGAGATCTTCCTAAAATCTAATATAATATTTTGTCCAGGTATGCCCTGTCAATGCGAAGCTACAGTTCCCTAACGTATTTTGGGAATCATCGTCATACTCGGAATTTTGTCTCATTGTTTCGAAGAGAAAGGAAATCAATAAAGCCTGAGGAAGTGGTGAGAGATGGTTGGATCGCACTAGATCGGGCTTCGGTATTCGTTCAGTAGAGATTATTTGAATAAATGCTAACATAGTTCCGTTCACTGCCAGTAAAAATAGATAAAATATAGTAATTAAATTGTGCTATGTCGGCCTATGTCGGTTTTGGTCCCGGGTAGTCTACCGGTAACTTACTTAAAGGGACAGATGCGCCATTTATTTTTCGACCAATCATTTTTTAGTCTCAGAAACGGGAATATTGTAGCTATGCTATAGTCAGTAATAGTGTTCACAGCTCACTGTCGAAATTTGAGTCTTCAAATCAATGTGTGTCTAGAACTATCCGCGCGTGAATGTTAAAATGATGACTCGTCAATTTAAGATACTCTATGATATATAGAAAAGAAATTCGGGGTAAATTTTCTATATTGAGATATTTTTTGAAGGAATTGTGCGATTTTCGTACATTTCTAGTACTTCCTCATTCGAGAACTTACAGCCATCAGTACTTTTGGTAAAAAAAAACTTTTGGCGCCCTTTCGTGTGCAAGAAATTCTCTGAAATGTAATAAAAAATGCAAATGCCTAAGGAAAACGGACTGTCGTAAAAAGTCGAGTGGACCTGCATTCAATATATCAGAATATAAAGTATAGATCTTCACACTGTCGTGAATCTTGGGTTTAAAGCACCATTCCACTTTTTTTTTTTTTAAAATCGTTGTAAATTATAACTGAAAATATTTCTAAAGTTTGCTATTTATATCTATGTATGTACTTGATCAAACTGAATTTGTTTTAAAAGGGTTAATTAAAAACAGAGAGTACTAATTGTTAATTAAGCAGTTTGACCTAGTTTCAGTGTTTGGTTTTATAATGGCTTGATATTATTACTTGAAATCTTTAGAATACGTAGAAGATATATTTCTCTACAATTAGGCGTTTATTTTCCTTAAATCTGTACAGTAGTTTTCTAACAGCTTTCAAAAAACACAACGAACTTAAAAACCTTACGTAATATTTTTAAATATTTTTGGTGTTTAAAAATTAACGGCTAGATTGTTATTAGTTTAAACTTTTAGATACGTTAAAGGGCACATTTCTGTACATTTTGGTATATAGTTTACACGCATTTGAGCAAACAAAATTTTTGACTCGCAAAAAAACGGAATGGGGCAGAAAGTTTAAGCGAGAGAAATAAATTACTTTTTTATTAGCCAAAGATAAAAACATGGTTACATTTCTCTTGTTTTCTCCAATACATTCGGCTAGGAAGACCTTTGATGTGAACGTCATAACCATTGTTAGAAATCACTCCTTGAGCTGCGTAAGGATCGCAATGGTCTCTGACTGACGATGGGAATGTTTGATACGCTTTGTCTGCGTCTTTTCTACTGTAGATGTTATGTTTATGCGGACGGTAGCTCGTTGTTACTTTACATGAATCTACTTTGCTTACAATGGAACGTGCTGTAGCCATGTTGATGTGTCTTTTGCTACGGTCAACACTTGCGGCCACAAAGTTTCTACCATGGTTTCTAAACTTGATGTAACCGCCACACTCTCCAACATAATGTACATTACCACCAGTTATATCATTGTATGTTACTGTGAGCCAATCTTTCCATGAGTACTTTTCAGTCAGGTAACCATATATCATGTTGTTGAAGTCGTTGTTGTTCATTGCAGTTTTCAGGTTGTTTTTAAGAAGATCGTCGATATCTTTCCCAGATTGAGTTTTAAACTCTTTGACAATAGCTGCATCTGTAGCCATCATTTTCTTTCTGACTTCGGAAAATCGAGTTGACCATTGATTTTGGTTACCACGTACATCTTTATGAGTTAGTTGATAGTAAGTCAGTTCCAACTTGGCGGCTTTCATCAACAATTTAAGAAGTCCTAGCATAAAGGCTTGGCTTTTTCCTCTGTGGTAATTGGTATGTTTGACAACAGAGGTGAAAAGACCACCTCCAAACACATGTCCTCCTTGCATGATTCCTTGATAGAGAATTGTACCACTCTCTTGATAAGTACTGTCGTAGCTATTAACAAAAGCAGACGTCGTTTTCCTAACATCTTTAGTGCTAAATGTGTAGATATTTTCGAATCGGGCATTAAGAGCGTTAATTCTTTGCTCAGCACTAGAATACTGTACTTGAACTTTAACCCATTCGATCAGGTTTTTCACTTCATCAAATTGACTGTCAACTCTATCGAATCGATTGTCAACTTTTGTGGACAGATCTTTAATGGCTTTAAGTTCGGCTGTTTCAGTTTTTGCAACAAATCCCATGATGAAGGACACACAGGGTCCAATAATACCAAGATAAGGTGTTACAGCGGTAGCCAGCTTTCCAATGACATTGGTGAAATTTTTAGCAACAACAAAGTCACCAATTTCTTTAGCTAATGATAAACCATGTTGGATGTTAGAGGCAGTGTTTCTTATTTCCTTGGTAGTAGCAACAGTCACGTACAATACCAATAAAACACCAGCCAGCACCTTCCAATTCATGTCTGAAAAAATAATAGAATTTTAGTGTTGATCAGCTAGTTTAATACGCCTCGGAATGCACCTATTGATCGCCTCGCATTATCCTGTCACTGGAGAGGGCAGCCATGTGATTGGTTTAAACAGAGGTCAAGCAAAGGTTAACAGAATGAAAAGTCAAGAAGGACAGTGTAAGACCTTACTGGAGTGGTTACGTACAAAGCTAATAACTAATATAACATTCGAAACGAAACTAATAAAATACGAACGGAAGAGGCGATTGACTCAAGGAATAAAGAACTTTGATGTGCTCGATTCATCGGAGCTCTTTCCATCAATATAATCATACCTGCTTACATAATACACTAACCTTTCAGCAATGAGGCGAGGAAATTATTTTATATTACACCAGATACAATCAAAACTAATGAAGAATAACAGAAGACCCCTAGCTAGTTAATAATCTGCCTATTGTAGCTAATTAAAATCTAGATATAAATTCTGCCATTTTTTTTATCAATCATAACGTAGTTTAAAATTTGTAAATTGTTTCCAAGTAATAAATCGAGAATTTGTTGAAATTCTGTCGAGTCCAGTGGAATTTATAACTTAAAGATGGGTTCCCTTATTTTTATTTATGAAAATGAAAATGCTAATATATGAATAGAAAGTAGAGGTGTTCTAATGACTTGGAATAATACCAGTTTGTCTCACATGTCCATAATTAATTCATTATTAGCTAAATTAGAAGAGAATTACCAACAGAATTCCAATGAGTGACCGATCAAGAAAGGTCAAAAAGTCTTTTTTTGTTTATCCAGACGGTACATACATGGACATTTATGATTGGTTAAAACTCGTAATTATATGCAATAAGAACATAATGATATGATTAAGAATACATGATAATTCATTAGAAACACCAATTAATCAAATAGTTTGCTTAATTTGACACTAAAAAATCGGGAAACCCATCTTTAATAGTGAACCTACCTGAGTGATTGATACTGACAGTGTTGTCTCCTAAAGACTGCCACCTTTTTATACACTTTGGACTGTCTATTCTAGATAGCTGATGATCATGATGTACAGATAAGATTACGAATGGGTAAATGACAGAAGTTCAACAGAGAAACATGCAGTCGTTCTAATAACAATCTCTTATCGAATAACAAAGTGCCATTGTACCAACATATATGTTAGATATTTTTTACTTAGATCCAGGTTGCTAAAACCAGGGGGGACCAAGTTACAATTCTTGGTCCGGTTAACAACCCGACAGTCAACACATAGTTGATCCAGAGTACCAACAAGCACGACAATCCAGTAGGATCTTATTGATGCTGTGTACATCGACCACTGGAAGACAATCAAACTTTAGTCTCAGAAACGGGAATTTTTTTTAGCTAAGCCAATCAGTAATAGTCTTCACAGCTCACTGTCGAAATTTGAGCCTTCAAATCCATGTGTGTCTAGAATTATCCACGTTTGAAAGTTAAAATTTAAAATACTCTGTGATATATGTAAAATTCCTAGTTTGAAGTATAGTTATAGGTATTATACGATTTTCGTACATTTCTTGTAGGCCTACTTCTGAAGACTTTTTACAGATATTCTAGATTAAAAGCTACCCCCAAAATGGCGCATCTGTCCCTATAAATGAGAGACCAGAAACCACTGTCACCTGAAAGAGTTGAGTTTGGGAAATAGTCCTCAAACAAGAATTTCATCAGAATGAGGTATTAAATTTGTTTACATCACGTGGATTCAGATAGGTTTTGTAATTTATAGCCCAGTTCTGATTGGAATTAACTCGGCAACATTATTTACATCTCGGCAATAAAAATATATTTTTTGACAACTTAACATCATGTTGTCGAATGTTTCCGGACTGTGCACACTAACAGTATTTTCGACAACATGATATCTGTGAGTTTAAAAAACTTTAGTCCTGTTTCTGGGACAATGATACAACAATATTTAACTACGTACGTATCGACTGTTACCTTATCTTTTTGTATTTTTTTGACACCATTAAAAGATAATGAACACTGAAGGTCATACGAGGACGAATTCTGGCCTTGGTTTACGTAACACTTTCGTTCTCGCTATGACAGCATTAAAAAAATGAAAAGATCAATAAATCCCAGTTATTGTTTCAATAGTTACTAGATAAAAACCCTGTTGTAATGGTCGATTCATAATCTGCGCACACAATTCCACGCAGCCCTGTCATTAGGGTGGGGTCAGAGGGGGTTGGGGCCCAGTAAGTGAGAATTAAGACCCAGCTAAACCTTCTTCAGTTCAGCAGAGATTGATTCATTTACAGTGTTTTTGTACAAAATCAAAAAGATATAGATTTTGATACGTTTTTGGCAGCTCAAAATTCTCAGAAATGAGTTCTCTGTCTTTTGGCATTTATTAATTCTTCAAATTTTCTGAGTGCAAAATCTGAGCCCCAGCACCAATTTATTCCTGGCGACGGGGCTGTGTTCAGTGGCGGAGCCAAAGGGCCGGCAGAGGGGCACCCATTTAACAGAGCCTATTTTTTCTGTCTCTACACCAGCTGACATCTGTCCAAATAGCTATATATCAAAGGCTGGAATAGAGATAGATGTTTCGGTCAATCTGGCATCCATGAAAATATTTTTTATATATAATGTTGAATTGGGTCTAATTTGGCGCATCAAAAACTATATAAAGGGGAATTTTTCTCCTCCCGCTTGAGCTTATGAATAATGGTGAACATGAAGTACGCAATGAGGGACATTTTGTTGAAGAGTGTAGTTAAATTGGTTTTAATTGTAATTAATTATATTCAGTTCACGGTATTGATTAATAATTACATTTCACTGTCTTTCTACTTTCCTATCTCCTCACTTTATCTTATCCGTTTCTGAATTCTATTCATCCTAACCTTTGACCTTGTCCTTTCTGAGCTGTTGTAGTGACCATCTGAGTTGTTTTCTGTCTGACCTAAATGGTCATTCTGCCTTAATATTTTGTATTGTAGGAAAAAAGAAAAAAAAAACTAGATTGTGTATGGTTTAAATTGAACGTTCTTCAATGTGGTATCTCCTAGGTTTTATACAGTGCTTGTTGTGGATGATTGAGGATAACTTTCAATATAGGTAGGCCTATGTTTAATTCTAATATTTTATATTATATTTGTTTATACTGGTTACCAAGGTGTCGGCCATTTTTGGAAGTTCAGCAAGTATTTTCGCAATGAATTCATTTATAATTCTATTACATAGTCATTCTCTTATATTCATGTATATTTTATTACAGATTTCCCTTTATAACCCTTTGGATGGTAAGGTGTTTCACCAGCCCCGTCACCAGGAATAAATTGGAGGTGGGGCTCAGATTTTATACTTTAAAGAATTAAAGACCCAGAGAACTCATTTCTAACAATTCTGAGCTGCCAAAAACGTATCTTACCTGCATCACTGACGGGGAAACCGAGATGAAAAACCCGAAGGTATTATCTCGACCTATGCCGGGATTGAACCCTGGACCTTCAGGTTAGTGAGCAAGCGTCTAACTCACTGAGCCACCGCGGCTTCCCTTGAAGTTCTCAAGGATCTTGTCTCGAATCTTAAGTAAAATCTGGCGTGTGCCGTGCTTGCACGACAACATTATCGTGCCGCCGGCAGGATTTATAATGTCAAACAAGTTTGATGATTGTCGCCGATTGTTTTATCGTCAGACTGTCATCATAGAATCAGATTCATTTTCCATTCAATAGCATTCTCCGCATGTGATTATCGACAAGGTGGAAAACGACTGACTGGAGATTTTTTTTCTCCTCGCGTGCCCGTGCCAGTCTCGAAACACAAGACAAGACACTAATCGGCGACAAAAATCTCCGATCAAGACCGCTTGTGTGCCCGCACCTTTACATGAGCATCACCAGATTGTGCTACAGGTAAGATTTTACTGACAGCAAATGAAATGAAATGGAGTTTTACGTCCTACTTTTCTTCACCTTGTGGGCTAATGAAGACTGGCAACACCATGCAGTGTACAATGAGGGGCATTTTTGCCAGAACAGCGGCATTAGCCTGCTCTTTTTCGATTTCCAACTGTGGAGGATCTTTAACGTGCACAGCCTGTAGCACACGGGACCTCAGTTTAATATCCAATCCAAACGACTAGAGGCTTTTTTCATGTCAGTACCTCGTACCTACAAGACAGCCAATGAAAGATAATGATGATTTTCTATGTTAATTGTATTTACATATATTACAGTTCTAAATCAAACAATATCATTTACAATTCCTCTTGACCATATTTACATTACAGGTAACGGGCAATAATTGCATTCAGCATTTAGGGCGTTTAAAGGGACAGATGCGCCATTTTGGGTGGTTGATTTTAGTCTTGAATATATGTAAATAGTCTTCAGAAGTACTAGAAATGTACAAAATCACATAATTCCTTTAAAAATATCTCAAACTAGGAATTTTACTCACTATTTCTATAGATGTCTTTTCTATATATCACAGAGTATCTTAAATTGACGAGTCGTCATTTTAACTTTCAAACGTGGATAATTCTGGACACGCATGGATTTGAACGCTCAAATTTCGACAGTGAGCTGTGAACACTATTACTGATTGACTTAGCTAAAAAATTCCTGTTTCTGTGACTTAAGTATGATTAGTCAAAAAAGGCACACCTGTCCCTTTAAATTCGGTGTTGATAACATTATTGATGGACAATTCAAAAGAAAGGGTAATATGTGAAAACGTCTAAAAAAAATCAATATAAAGATTACAGGCAAATATATTGCACCCGGATCACTTGAGAACATTTACAACTTTCAGCTCAAAACAGACGACAGACTTTTGTCTGCGAAACATTGTTTTGAAATATTTGTTTCAATTCTGGACAAAAATTTTGAGTCTGTCGTGTGTTGATTAAATTTTTTACGAAACACTTTCTGTTCTCAACCAATCAACATACAATACCTCATCACGTGAATTATTTTTGAATCTTTTGGTCATGTGACTAATAAAGTCATGTGACAAAGCCGTCCATCCACAATGTTTCTTCTGTCCATCGTGTGCGGCTAATGAAAACTTGAGCGTCTATCTTTAGTGAAACATCATATAAACATTAACAAACTATTTTGATTGGACAAATGAAAATGAATGAAGTCTTAAACCTACTTTTCTGCCCTTTGATTGGAAGAGACTGAATCATGAAATAAAATCAACCAATCAGAATTCAGATATCATTATTTTCCCGTTTCAATAATAAGTTAACAAGTCCCACGCTATACCTGCACAATTTATATGCAAATTTTATGCATGAAAACACTTCGTTGCATTTGCATAAACCATTCGCGACCAATAATTCACATAATCTCTTTTGATAATTTGCTTTTAGTCACGTTTTTCTGCTCATTCCAGTCTGTTCAACATAAACACAAACAAAGGTAGAATAAATAGTAATGCAAACTATACAGACTAAACTTATCTTGTGTTGATTAAAGATGGGTTTCCTTATTTTTTAGTGTCAAATTAAGCAAACTATTTGATTAATTGGTGTTTCTAATGAATTATCATGTATTCTTAATCATATCATAATGTTCTTATTGCATATAATTAAGAGTTTTAACCAATCATAAATGTCCATGTATGTACAGTCTGGATAAACAAAAAAAGAATTTTTGACCTTTCTTGATCGGTCACTCATTGGAATTCTGCTGGTAATTCTCTTCTAATTTAGCTAATTATGAATTAATTATGGACATGTGAGACAAACTGGTATTTTTCAAAGTCATTAGAACACTCTACTTTCTATTCATATAAGTATTAGCATTTTAATTTTCATAAATGAAAATAAGGGAACCCATCTTTAATATTTGAAAATTAACCGTTTGTGTTTATGTTTTGAAACAGTACCAAATAAATAGAAATATTTTTGCTGTAAACAATGTTTCAGTCAATCCCAATTGATCTGAATATCAGATACAGTTTTCAACTAATTAAATAATAAATAAATCTGAAATCAAAAGTTCTGTTGCCGTTTTTTCTTGGCATCTATGGCTTCTAAGATTGGTTGACGTTTGGCTTGGTATCGACAGTGGAGCTCTTCAATCTCTCTCTCCATCTCTGGGTCAAGGTCAGCTAGTCGTGCTTCTAAATCTTCAAATGGCATATTACGCAACTAAAACAATTTAAGAGAGAATATGAAAAAAAGCTTGCCAGACAAGGTAATATACGCCCACTGGCAGCTTTGATTTTGAACAAATATTTAGCAGTACAGTAACAATCACCAGTATGAAATATTCAACCTACAGTCATACACTTCTTTTGAACTCTTTAGGGCGAGACTGAATAATATTACCAAGTTTCATTAAAATCTGTCAAGAATTGGACTTTCCAGAGTGTTTACAGGCTTAAACCTGAACACGTTTTTAAGAAAAAGGGCTGTTTCGCTTCGTTTGATTTTCAATAGGGTTCATCCTTGGTTGATAAAAAACACTCATACCAAGTTTCATCAAAATCTGTCAAGAATTGTGCCTTCTAGAGTGTTTACAAGCTAAAATTGAACGCGTTTTCAAGAACAAGGGCTGTGGGCTTATAAAAAATTAAGGGTTTAGAGCAATAACATTCAGGGTAATGAGAAATTGACATTTAATGAAGAACCATTTTTTTTTACGAGAATGACAACTTCAGTTCACAAGGATCATTTCTACCAGACAGCTCTTGGCATACCCTCTCGGCATTGATCTTCCCAGATTATCTGTATCCAATTAACAGTCGAGTTGACTGGAGAATCCTGCCTTCAAGCTGGTCCTTGACCAGAACTCTTTGCATTGATCATTCTCGAATTATGGTTGAAGATGACTTATTCCTGGGAACTGGTTAATATTAGAAAGATCAATACCAAGAGGTTTGGCCAAGGACCAGCTGGTAGAAAGGATCCTCATTATTCCAGTCAACCCAGCTGTAAATGGGTACGGATAATCCAGGAAAGATCAATGCTAAGAGGTTCGGCCAAGGACCAGCTGGTAGAAAGGATCCTCATTATTCCAGTCAACCCAGCTGTAAATGGGTACAGATAATCTGGGAAAGATCAATGCTAAGAGGTTTGGCCAAGGACCAGCTGGTAGAAAGGATCCTCATTATTCCAGTCAACCCAGCTGTAAATGGGTACAGATAATCTGGGAAAGATCAATGCCAAGAGGTTTGGCCAAGGACCAGCTGGTAGAAAGGATCCTCATTATTCCAGTCAACCCAGCTGTAAATGGGTACAGATAATCTGGGAAAGATCAATGCTAAGAGGTTCGGCCAAGGACCAGCTGGTAGAAAGGATCTTTGTGCTCTTAAGTTGTCATCTTTGTAAAATATGTTTCTTTCTTTTTCTTTTCACTGCACTACTATGACTCCAAAGTAAAATAAAAAATAGCTTACAAATTCAAAGTCCCCATCGTATAAACATCGTTGAAAATGGTGTGGTGGGGTGATCTGTTTGGGTTGGGACGAGGTCTGGGTGGAAGGTTTATTAACAGGTTTGGAGGGTTCGGAAGCTTTGTCTTTCGACTGTCCAGCTGGTTTCTCGTTTTTAGCAGCTCGTTCTTTTTCTTCTTTCTCAAAATGATCTAAATAGGCTGGTCGATACTTTTCTTTACCAGCTGTACTTGTATCGTGTCCTACAAATCAGATTAATGGAGTTTTACACCTTTCTCTTCTGGTTATAATTGGGCTAATGAAGAAAGACTGTGAGATATGCAATGAGGAGAATTTTGTCAGGACTGCAGTGTTAACCTACTACTCTGTTTATTTTCCAAATGTCTTGGATCTTGCACAGATAATAAACAGTCAGTTACACGTGGTGCCATTTTTACTGCATACATGTGTAATTTATCAATGTTGTCGGGTTTCTACCGCTCTACCAGCTGGATGACCTATTCTACCCATTTTTGTTTTTTTTCCTGATCAAATTTTCACGGGACCTACCGTTTTCAATGTTCAAATTCTCTACCATAAATCAACAAAATATCTATCATTACTTGTATCTTAATTGCCGGTAACATGCGTTAATCTCATCACGTAATAATATTATCATTGCCTGATTAATAAACCCCCAATTAAGATGGTAATTTGATCTATTTAAACCCGATAATGTGTGTTTTAAGCCCACATGACACACTTTTTATAACGTTCTACTTTCGCTTTTATAATAAATTTTACTGTCTTCTGCAACATAGAAACTTGTGTATGTCAGCCCCTCAGACTTGTATCACTGATAAGGGGAATCAGGTTGAACGAAGCAGAGATGGTACTGTGGATCTTTAGCCTTTCCAAAAAAAAATTAGAATATGTCCAAGTAACCACGTTCGAATGTAGTTGGTGAAATGAGAAACGTAAAGTAATATGAAAATCAATTAAATCTGTTTAAAAATACACCAAATTATCGCATCAATATACATGATCACACCATGTTTCATTAAAATCAATTGAAAACTGATCCCAAGTCAAGGGCAAGAACTCAAAGACCGTTCATTTAAATATCAAATTTGATCTTCTCCAAGAACTCATCAATATAAATGATCACACCAAATTTCATTAAAATCAGTTGAAAACTGTAGTCTCTGTTGTGTACACCAACAATATTTGACGTGTTTTTCTTAAGTCAAGGGCAATAACTCAAAAAAACCATTCATTGAAAAATCAAATTCAAACTTCTCCAAGAACTCATCAATATAAATGATCACACCAAATTTCATAAAAATCAGTTGAAAACTGTAGTCTCTATAGTGTTCACTAACAAATTTTGACGCATTTTTCCTGAATGAAAGTTCAACCTACGTTTCATTGTACTGTCATCTTCCTCTTCTAAATCTTCATTGATCACCATGGTACCGAACTCAGAGTTCATGGTGCTGGAATCACTCTTGATAATAACACTACCAGCTGTGCTTGATTTCAGGGTATCTTTCAAATAAAATTAGCAATTATTTTTCTGCACTTTGGATAGATAGTGGGCAATGAGGGAAGTTTTTCAGGAGAGACTCTTTTTCAATTTCAAAATGTCAAGGGATGTTAGTATTAGTTTTATGTAGCTGATTGAGCTAATGAAGATGGGCACAATAGGCAGTGTGCAATGAAGGAACATTTGCTAGTGAACTCTTTTTGTTTCCATTTTCCAAACAAAGAGTTCTTGAAACTACACAAGCTGTAGCAAGCATGGCTTTGAATCATTTGAACTGTTATGATGACAGAGGAAAGGAAACTGGGGTGAAAAAATTGGTTCTTGGTTCTAACTCAAAAAATCTTTGCAAATGACATCAATATTCCAACACTCTACTTGACAGTTCTACAGTCGCAGATCCTGTCTACCAGCTGGTCCTTAGCCAAAATTCTTGGTGTCGATCTTTCCTAGATTATCCATACCCATTTACAGCTGGGTCGACTGGAATAATGAGGATCCTTTCTACCAGCTGGTCCTTGACCAAACCTCTTGGCACTGATCTTTCTCAGATTATCTGTACCCATTTACAGCTGGGTCGACTGGAATAATGAAGATCCTTTCTACCAGCTGGTCCTTGACCAAACCTCTTGGTATTGATCTTTCCCAGATTATCAGTACTCATTTACAGCTGGGTCGACTGGAATAATGAGGAAAGATTACTTATTCAAGATCAGAAGACTTTAACATGCTGACCCAGATTAGAGTCTATGACCATCATTTGCTTCAGGATCTCAACATTCTAACCTATTGGGCGACAACCTGTCCTCAAAGTTACCTGTTTCTGTGGCTTTCATAGTTCCATCAACATGATCGTTATTTTTCACCATTGTGCCATCATCTCTCTCTTCTTCTTCATCACCCTAACAAATAAAAAACATAGCTTGATAAGATACAATGGAACCAAGGACAGTCAAGGGATCTTGAAAGTGCACAGCCTGCAGCACACAGGGCCTCAGTTTATTGTCCTAAAGCCTGCCGCAGTAAACTAGCTCAGCTGAGCAACATTCTCACTATTTCTACTTCACCTGAGCTATTGTCTCACTAGAGCTCGCCAATTCGTACGTCAACGAAAACAATCGAAGAACGTTCGGACTGCATCCATGTCAGGTTAGTGATCAGAATGGCCTCTTTTTCCTGTTTTGGAATTCTGCAGAAAAAACAGCGAGACACGGATAGTTTTGCCATGTTCTGCATGTTGATGTTGCATCATTCGTGGTTACCATAATGATACCATGTGATCCGTCAACGCGTTTCTATTGGCTAGCTACTTTTTCTAGCTCAGATGGCAGCTTAAACGCCCGCACACAGTGAATTTCTAGCCATTTGAGGCAGAATATATCAAACAATATAGATCTTTTCCTCGCGAGGCAGAAATCTCACTAAAAATTCATGGCACACAGGGGAAATATCTCAACTCCCAACCTCTTGAGGCAGACAGTTCAGCTAGTTCCTCTAATCTGCGGCAGGCTTAACGAACCTCAGCTAGCCCCTCTGCCTGCATCACTGACAGGGAGATACTGGTTGTAAAATCCGAAGGAAACTGAGATTTATATATGATATTTTTAAAAATGGGAAATGAAAATGCTAATACTTATGTGAATAGAAAGTAAATGTCCATAACTAATTCATAATTAGCTAAATTAGAAGAGAATTACCAGCAGAATTCCAACGAGTGACTGATCAAGAAAGGTCAAAAAGTTTTTTTGTTTATCCAGACTGTACATACATGGACATTTATGATTGGTTAAAACTCTTAATTATATGCAATAAGAACATAATGATATGATTAAGAATACATGATAATTCATTAGAAACACCAATTAATCAAATAGTTTGCCTAATTTGACACTAAAAAATAAGGAAACCCATCTTTAATTTGGCACCAAAAAATAAGGAAACCCATCTTCAATTACATGGAAATTTTGTACAGAAAAAACTTACCGAGTCATCACCATTAGAATAATGATCTAGATGTTTACTTTTCATAATATCATTAGCTTCCTTTATCATCTTCTGTAGAATCCTCGACGTTTCAGCCTGCTGGATGAACTCGTGCTAAAAATAGAATCTTTAATAGAGAGACCAGTTGGTTAAACAGATTGTAAAGAGGTTTTCTAAAATTTTGATGTATATCAGAGACACTGATAGCATCAATTTACATCATTCTAATTTTCAATCAGATGTCTGTGGTTCTTGTTAAAGGGATTGTAAAGAGGTTTTCTAAATTTTTGATGTATATCAGAGACACTG